TTTAGACAGACAGGTACGGTTCTGCGATGCAGATCCCAGCGACGACCCACGGGACACTAGTTCAAGGAGGTTCTATTTATGGCCCGGAGAAGAAGTGAAGGATTTGCAAAGGTCCAGATCGATCCACAAGCCCAAACTTGACGGCCGTCAGTGACCGATGGAAAAGGACTTTGTTGCTTAGGAGGTACGGCCGAGGTACGGTCCAGGCAGGTGAGGTATTTGGAATATCACGCGGAATTCTGGCAACAGAATGGTAGGCTAAATCCCGATCCGTGGTTATGCTTTCCTGGTTCCTGTCACAGGAGAATAATTCTCCTGTCAAGTGGCAAGCTGCCCTTTGTCTATCTGGTCTGTAGAACGTTCTAGAAGCTATGTCTTCTGTCCTGCATAAAGCTTCGCGTAAGAGAATACTCTCGTTGAATCCGACACAACCCCATCATCAACCCCATTCAATAACCAGTCCGATATGTCTAGCAGAGAGCCTGTAGAAACTATGCCAATCATGGACAGATCTCATGAGCTTATGTAAAAATATCTCCGGTTTTTGCACTAAAACCGAGGAACCGATTGGCTGCCGGAAATGGGTTGAGGTTGTGGGCCGGCCCTCCTGCGGCCCCTAAACTTTACCTCCATTACCCTCCGCATCTTGATTACGACTGTAGCGAGAGAGATTCTTTCTAGTACACTGCTAGTCTGTTCCAATTCCCCGTACATGAGCAGGTCGAGACTGTTGTGATTCTGCCCCAATTCTCTGGGCTTCTCTTTTGGGCTGTAGGGCTTAATCACGAGCAACCTAGAAAGCAAGTGAGGCAGTAGCCCGGGCCTGAAGCCTTCATGACGACCGCATTCTCTCACCGAGCAGGCGATTCCATGGTTCCTCCAAACTAAGCAGTCGAATGATTTGCGGTTCCGCTAATGATCGTCAGCTGCCCTCGTGATTCCACGGTCTCTGTCAAACTAATTTCCTCCTGACTTGGGTGTAGGTCAAAACAAATCGTACGCTTCACCCCAAAGATTACCCTGCTTTCGACCATCGATCCTATTAAATCCAAGTAGACGTATTACCTTGAGCCAACAAGAATGCCGTATTTCCATTTTCCCAGAGCCCCCTTGCTACCATGTCCTGTCTCCCTACGGGAACACCCATAGTATCGTGAATCCTTACACGCTGTCCGCAGTACTTACCAGGCCACATAACACTCCGATGAAATCCTCCTAGTTTTGCATGACAAGGATGAAAATGTGTGCGCGGGCCTGTTCCGAGGGCACCACAATCGTGTTCGAATCCTCACCTTTGACCTTGGGACTTCCTCACTATTGTCATCATTCCAAAGAAGGGCGGTTGCTACTTCGTCTACGGAATACATGGAACGATATACAACCACGCTTATATTACTCATGCTGAGGCTTCATTGCTGATCGCAGCCTTTGATGTAGGAACATGCACCAGGACTAGTTAATGTTGTAGTTCAAAAGGAAATTTTAAATTGTACTGAACTAGAGGGAATAACCGAGGCTATATATACACAAGAGCAGATCAAGTTGATTAGAAATCAAATTGTTTCTTCGTATAGACACCTCGGGATTAATTCCGATGGTACGGCTTGGTTCCTGATCTGCACCAGCCTCAGATCACAACAGAATGAAGAATCTGGTGGAAAACTGTAGTCTCATTGATGATGGATGGATGCTCTCCCTAGAAGGAGAAGGCTGCATGCAAGCTTCCTAGGGCATTTGCGACACCTTAGGCCAATAATACGTCTCAAAAGCCGTACTTCATCCGACCAATAAGATCTCGATGACTCTGTCTTTTATTACTACCAATTTCAAGCTATTTATGCTATTCACTAATGACTAATCCGCATATTCGGAGTAACGTAATTCACTACCGAGCTGATCACACCACCGAGTTGATCACCCTACTAAACCCATCAATTTTAAATCCAATTATTTCAACCAAAACGCTATTAAATTCAATAAACTAAACTCGAGATCTATTAGGACATGCTGTCAATTTATGACCCTTAACTCCACAAACACTACACGTCGGTAAGGCTCTTTTACGTGGCTGAGAAGGTGCCTGAGCCGGCCCTACCTCATAGGGTATCGCTGCTAAAACTGCTTGCTCTGGCTGCCCTAATAAGGTAGAGGCCTCTAAAACTGAAAGACCTTCTTCGGAAAGTATCTGCCTTGCTGACCTAGACTTCTTTCGCTTTTTCGTCTCGTTTGCAGCGCGTAAATCGCTTACTTCTTTCTCGAGAATTGCTGCCGATTGCATTGTAACTTGACAGGCCTTTAAAACCTGATTTATCGCACAATTAAGCGGACTCGGTGGGCTTTTCGAGCGCTGTTTTAGTAAAGCTTTAATTGAGGAAGCTTGTTTTTGTAATTGGACGTAATTCGAGGGCGTCCTTAGCTCCCAATCACTACCCCGGCTCGAGGGGGGGTCGGCGTCCGAAGGCAAATATCGAGCTTCGAGATTACTCGATCGGGGTCGTAAGGCACTAAACCAGTAGCGGCGAAGCTATTCTTAATAGTCTCCGATTTAAATGCCTCGATTCGTGCGGTCGGATAGGCTTCGAGGAAGTCTAGTTTATCGATGTGGTTGATTCTAGCCCGCATTTTTGACTCGATAAGTCGACCGTACGCGCGCTTTAACACCGCAAAACAGCCTATATCGAGAGGCTGTAAAAGGTGAGACGAGTGCGGAGGCATACAAATTGCGATAATATCGTTTTCTTCGCAAATTTTATCGAATTCCGGGGTTAAATGACTTCCGTGGCCGTCGAGTATTAAAAGTCTATACTTCCCCTTCGTACGCGAAGAAGTAGACGGAATAAAGAGCTTTTAAGCCATCGAAGTCCAATTTCGTCGGAGGTCCATCCGTTAGGACTAACCTCGAGTCTCCAATCTTCCGGAAGGCCGTCGAACCAAGATTCGATAAAAACTTTGCCTTTAAAAATCACGCACGGAGGAAGCGCCCACCCCGACGCGTTTATACACTCAATTGTGGTCACCCACGCGCGATTTCCGGGCTGTATAAGCGATCGCCGACCGTAGACATCCCTTCTCGAGATAACCTTCGCGGTCGTAATTAAGCCCATTGCAAAACCGGTCTCGTCGAAGTTATAGATATCGTCGGGGTCGATCCCGTACGTTAGAATCGTCTTTTGAACAAGAGAAAACCATTCAGAAATAATCCTCGGATCCTCGCATTTAGCTCGTTTAAAATTATAGCTTTTCGAGAATCGGGAGGAAAGGTCGGGATGCCTTTTAACGTATTTTGTAACCCAATTTTGACCGACTGAAAGAGGAGGGGTAGATCCGCGCGCTGTAAGTAGCAAATTGGCCATTTCTCGTACAGAAGAAGGCCGAGGGGCTGCTCCACGAGAGTCCATAGAGAGAATCCATTTTTTAAGAGATTCCTCTTCAATTTCAGTCAATTTTAGACAATTTGCGCGCGAAGACGCGCGGCTTTGAACCCCATGTAGGCGTGTTGTAAGAGTTGAATACGGTACGTTGAATTGGCGCGCTGCTTCGCGGAGTGAGGTAATTTCTTGCTTCTGAATAGCCTGAATAGCTAATAAGATCCTACCCTCTTGCTCCGTACGTTTTTGAGAGGATTGAGTACGAATTGGTGGCATAGTGGGTGGTTGAATAGAGAGAGTCTAATTCATTGACGCGTTTTTGGTGGGGTGATCAGCTCGGTGGTGTGATCAGCTCGGTAGTGAATTACGTTATCCATTTCTCCGGTTCTCTTCCAGTATTCATGAACTTGCATTGACAATATGCTACAGTCACGGGATCCACCACTACACTATTAAATTGAATTGAATTCCGAGGTTTCTGCCAGGCAGTATGAAAAGTGGGTCCTAAGGCCCGAAGTACCGGAGGTCAAATACTTTTGTTACACCACTGTATCAATCGGGTCTCAGGGCGTAGTTGCACTTTCTGCGAATTTGATTTTCTAAGATTTAATTCGTCTTCAGAGGCAATCCAAATATATGGGAATAGGTTGTCGGGCCTTGTCCATATATCACCGTAATGGGATACAAGATGAAGTCCAACTGTTTTCAAAGAGCACGTTCATTCCTATAGATAGTGCACAATTAATTTCAATGATGTGGCTTGGTCCTAGTCTGCACGAGTTTCAAACCACAACATTCCTAAATCGTCATTCTGATAGGGGAGCTTATCGCAACGCTGCTATATACATAATTCATGCGCTTCCAGTTCAGTGAGACAAATCAATATCCGAAAGGTCACACAGACACTCTGGTTTCATTTCGATTTCACGTCTTCTCGTCACTTGTATAATAACGCAGATACTTGCAGAAACGGTATTTGCAAAAGCGTTCCCTTAGGTGCTATGCTCTTTTCTTCTTTCTCAATCATCGAGCTGGAAAAACAAATTTATTTGCAGAGCGTTACAAACTCCAACTACTTATGACCTAGGGTCCTACCTAGAAAGAAAGATGAAGGTATAGCACCGGACACCATTTTTGCAATTTGCTGTAAAACGTGTACTCCATTTGTCGTATCTGAAATACGACGAGCGGCGGTGGTTTACCCGTCGGACACATTTTTGTATATTTATGCATTGCCTTTCAATAGATTTAATTGGTACCAGTAGACAGCAGCGGCTGCTGATCAGAGAAGTGGTTAGCCTGTAGAAGCAATGAATCCGAAAGGGTTGGTCGTGTAGGGTATTGCAGAAAGAAGTGATATTGGATCACATACTGTTGGTATCACCAGCTAGGTACCGTGTACACAGTTAAGTGAACAGTGTTTATGCTCCTAAAGCGAAAGTTGATTGATTCATGTAGATAGATGTGTGTTTCAGGTCATCTCAGGTTCTAAGATACCCCTTAATCCCATGCACGGACACTCGGCGGTCACAACACCGGAGCCGCAGCTCCGCGCAAGAATGCGTACACCAAGAACGGGACGTTATGTCCCGACACATACCGATGGTTATTATGCTGTGACCCAAAGCCACATCAGTCATAGAAACGAAGTTGATAGACAAAGTTTGGTCTCCAATCAAATTCAACAATCTGCGTACCACCACGGCCTGCAACACTTGAGGTGGTCTGGACGGGTTGAAAATTGCCATTTATGACTGTACCAACTTCGAAGCGGCGCGTGTTGCCCCCCAGTTGCGTAAGCCAACGTAGCCGATGTCGGTGTCGAGATCTTGAACAGTATTATAATGGAATACGTAGACTTCGATATCGGGTTCATCCATCATTGAAACATAAAACGATGATTCACCCCGCCTTGGAGGGGCCTCTCCCCGTTCAAGCCAGACTGCATTGTCTCTCGCGAGAAAGTTTTGAAGTTGCATTAGGCTTGTTGGTTCAGCGTTGTCAATCCTATGATACGGATTTGAGCTGAACCAATGCTGAATCGTACGACTTTCCAAGCAGTTTCCTTCTGCCGGGCACAGCCACGGGAGGGCAGCAATGACATGAGTGAGAGAAAGGAAAGTAAGAAGGCTGAAAATCATCATGACGGTTACTGCGATGGATGGAGCACAATCGGAATGAGAGATGTTAAGAGCTACAATGAGAGGGGGAGGAAACTTAACTTTATATGACCAGCAGGAATACGGGAGCTGGATCTCCTTAAGTTTCAGTAGGATACAGAGATTGGCTGAGATGTTTTTCGAATGGCTTAGTTATTAGGTATCCCTTAACCCGGCCGCTAATGCATTTTAGCGGTATTTTTTGTAATATATCTCTTACGGCCTGTCATTGGGTTACAAATTCTACCGCCTTACGCCTTTACATACATTAAAGTACTTCTTATTGGTGGCAGAAAAGTGGCGCTAAGGCGCACCCACAGCGGGGCGCGGTGTGGGTAGGCTGAAAGGCGCAGATATAAAGAGTACACAGTTTATCACTTCCCATTTAGTTCAATGCTCTGAGACAAATGCCTCGAACTAAGATGAATCAGCGCTTTATCCACCCTAACTGGTGGCGCGCGCTGGCGCACGCTGTGATCCTGAAACGAAAAACGCGCTGAAAAGTGTTGTGATATGAGGCTGGTGCAGATCAGGAACCAAGCCGAACCATCGGAATTAATCCCGAGATATGTATACGGAGAACAAGTTGATTGGAAATCAACTTGCTCTTCTCGTTGTATATATAGTCTCAAGTTTCCCACCGAATAATAGATGAATCAATCTTCCTTTTGAATTACAACAAAAAGTGAAGCAAAATTGAGCGATAAGATGAAAGTCGGAGTGTTTGTTCTGGTAGGGCGCCAGACAATTATATGCACGTTCAATAGGATAAATTAATCATATGCATACCAAGCCGCCGTGCAGCAGGGGGCAGTGTAAAGACTAATTGGATAAGCATGGAAAGAGGAATATACGCGTAAAGTTAAAAGACAATTAAACGGATAAGTTCTCTCGGGTTTCTTTTCTCGGATCTTCTTTTTCTGGAATGACTAGCATCTCTACCCGTGATGCAGCAGGACGATGCTATCATAGGGATAACGGGCAGGCTGTTCACCTCACTAGATGATCAACAGAATCCAGTGCATAACATGTTGGAAGATACGGAGGATGAAGGTCTGGAGGCCGCATGAGAGGATGCACGAGAGGATGTGCGCCATCCCTAGAAAGTGGGTCTGGAAAAGATGACCCGAACCCTTTTTGTCGCCCTACTAAGCTTGAAGCCTTGGCGAATTGTCTTAAGGTGGAAACTTTGGAATTCTGTAAAATATCACTCTTGTGCCTACTAAATACAGTACTTCTGGGAAGAGACACTCGCTAGCGCTGAAGCTCCTCCTCAGTGAATACGAGCCGTATTTGGAATATAGGAATGCACAGCGGGCATACTATACTGCACCAGGCAGATATTCTACACCAAGAGAAAGTAGAAAAGTTAGATAAGAGGTTTCCGCACCAACGACATCAAATCTAAACGCCCACCCCGTTGTTACAGTACCCCTCACTACGTTGCCTTAGGCCACCATAGCAGGTATGTTCCTGGTCTCACCGCGCTAGTTAAGTGCCAATGATCAGATAGTTACCGTCAAGTTTAATCACAACTGATGGTGGCATTTCGGCATTCTTAGCCCTCAATCAGATACGTGTATCGCCACCGTTTTACATAGATTACTGACGACAGTCCTTATTAGAGGCCATACTCTCGGACATTCGTTTGAGGGGAGACGGACCTCGATTGTATGAAGAATAAAGTACGGTTATTGCAGGAGCTCATAGGCTTTAATGGGTTCGAAAGTTCCGCAGAGGATAATCTTCCCCACCAGATAATGTACAGCGGAACCTCAGGGTCACCGGAGAGAATTAAAGAGGGCACAGTGCCCATTGGAATCCACAGAAGGACCCACAATACGCAACGGACCCCAACCACGCCGCGACCCAGACAAGGCCCCAGCAGCCAGGGTTGGCTATTTAATTGAAGCTGTTAAAGCAAGAATATTTCCATAGCACCTACTTATATCTTGGGCATATCTTATACTATCTATAATTGGAAACATCGCTATTGGTACAGTAAATCCTCATCATATATTGACTTAGGAAATAGGTGAGTAAATTGATACATGAATTTAAAGAACCTAATCAACCTATTTAGGTTAAGTATAACCTCATTGTGTATATTCTACTTATTCATCCATATAAAATTCCCTTGGCGTAAGGAGATATTATGGGGAGACAGGCCAAATGAACGAGACTCGTTGTATCGAGCGACCTCGTTATTTTTATTGGAGAATAATTCAGACATGTATGAGGATCTCGTTATATCAATGCTCGTTACAGGGAGATTGTACTGTAACCCGAAAGAAAGGAAATTCCGAAAGAATAGCCCTAAAATCAGAAGGCTAAAGTACTGTCAACCAGAATCTGCGCCATCATTCCTACTATGCTAGAAATGGAAGTTTAGACGCCTTTTTGGCTGAGTGGTTTGATGGTGATAGGTACTGTAAAGAGAATAAAATGGAGACCACTATTGGGTAATACGTAAATTTTATAGAGCTCTAAAAGCACTAGATCATGAGAAAATAAAATCGTATATATTCTCTCTTCCCTCCTTCTTTGTACCGCTACCATCTTGCAACCGTGCCGCAACGATTCATACATCTCCTACCTATCGTTAAGGTCTATTTCCACAATGGTGAACCTTGTTTTGTTGGCTGTTTCCTTCATGTACTTTATCTATCCCCTATGAAATGTTAAGGAACTAACCCCATATATAGGGCCTTGCGTGTTAACGCTCATTCTCGATACAAACTCTGTGCCTGTGAATCCGCTCATGCATCTGCTGTTGACGATAAACTTACTCTGGCGGTTGTCAATGCGGGCAATGGAAGGTTTGTTTACAGTATGTGAATATATTCCGTTTCCCATACATTCCCTGTTATGCCGTACCCGATGCCAGTTGGCAAGGGCAATGCAATTTTAAAAGAACCACAATGATTTACTCACTACCTTACGCAGGCACCTACTTTTGGACACTTGATGAAGGCACTGACCATCCTGGACATTATGTAGGTCCTCTATTTCCAGAATGAGGTACTTGATTACTCACTGCCATTAGTTCCATGCAATCGATGGGATGGTCCGTGATGGGGAACTTACTGCGGAAGACGATGGAATACTAGGAGGGTTTGAAGTCGACGAGCTTTGCCGAAGTTGGGGGGCACCGCATAGCACATGCTTCAACCCCAAGAAAGGAGATTATCGCCAATGTGGCAGCGGACCAGGAGGTTGTTCCACTGCATTCTATCCAATGGCTGATATGTACGGGGACTCCAATTAAGACGGTATAGAAGTACTGTGAGTAGGGCTCCGAAAAGGAATTGTTGAATATCACGGTGGCTGAATCATATGGGAGGGATTTGGGAACAGATCGACACAGCGTAAGCACAGCCTTCTGTGTGGCGACTGGCGGGCGTACAGAGATACACAAAAGCTGTGCTGCATGTGGGAAGAATGAGGGGAACTGGCAACTTTGGACTGGTGGGAGGGCGGAAAGTAGGCAAACGATCTTGTCAGATCGCCGGATATACCAAGGGTTCTAGGGGATTCGATGTATCATTACAGGATTATTGCAATACGTCCTTGGAAGAGTTATTGTCATTACCACCATAGTCCTGCCTAACTAATAGAGCAGTGACCCTAAATAGGATTAGTGTATTTCGGATTTGTTTTCGGGAAATCATGTCTAAAGAGGGTTAGGTCAAATTTATTTCGAAAACTACTGTAGCATAAAGCCGCAGGGTTTCCGTGAAGGAATAATGGATGGTTCTTCACCGCAGAGATCTGCGAGCTTAAGGCTACTAAAGGCCGCATCGAAGTGGAATTGGAACGCACTAGTTCTCGGCTAGATGATTGTCTTCGCGAAAATGATACGCTCCGGGCTGAGGCCAACCACCTCCGGCCCCCATCCGCAGATTCTTGAGTCGCAAAATGAGATGCTGCGTGATAAGCTGGTAGAGACAAGAAGGGACATCGCTGGAGCAATGTAGACACTGGGTTCGCTGCAATCAGAGGGAACGGACATCGCACTTGATGACATGAACGACAGCCAATAATCAGCCTTTGGCAGCCGTGCAGCATCAAGCGAGATCTAAATTGACAGACACGCAAAAGGCTGAAGCAGCTGGAGCACACTGAGAGCCCACCGAATATTCTAGTCCTCATGCTGCGGATCGCAGAGGCTGTATACGGCCAGTGATAAGCGCCAATTGTTTATACCCAGATTTTCAGATTCAAGCTGGCGCACAACTTCTAGCAATGCATATGTATGAAAAGGTTCTGAGCGAGAGATACTAGTAAAGTGGATACAAAGAGCTTGAGCAGGGTGGTTGAGAACAGAGTGTATCAAAATATTACCAGCAGTTCCTGCAAATAATATTTCTGGAGAGGGATCTGCTGCGTTGCAACTTCAAAGTGACTATTTATTCTGCACTAGATGGGCTGGACCCCCTACATGGACACACGTACTAAAAGCGAAGCATAACAGTCCAAAGAAGGCGCGACCTACGTAAACTAGGAATTATGGTTATGATATCATTTAAAATAAACAAGCGTATTAGGAATCGGCCTATACCGGTTGAAAACTTTCTGAGTTATTTCGTCCTGAATCTAAGTCTTATTCCAAAAACTCACTGGAATGTATCAATCGTACTGATTACTCCAGGCGTAAAAAATCGACTTTGCAGCCTATCGTCCGAACCCTCATTAAACCATATAAACTGGTCTAGTGATCA